TCCAGGTGGTCAAAATTCAGATGCTTGGCAGCTGACTCGTATTTATGACAGTTGCAGTATCTCTGTGTCATCCTTTTGTGACCTTTTCACAAACAAAGTCAAAGGGGAAGCCATATTCACTTAACAGCTGTGTTACTAACTGAACAACTGCAGTGATCCGCTTAACAACTGTGGTAAGGAAGTTTGTAAAATGGGGTAAAACTCACTTAACTACTGTCTCACTTAGCAATGGAATTTTGGGGCTCAGTTGTGGTTGTAAGCCGAGGACTGCCTGTATAGACTGAAATCCTGTATTCTTTTGTTAGGGAATAAAGCCACTGATCATAGCACATGACTATGCCAAGCATTAGACTATAAAGAACCATGAGAAATGGAATCATTGTGTGGTATTTCATAATCAATTACAACTGACTCAAGAGGGATGTTTTTTTCTTCTAAGGAAAAAGGAATATCCCAGAAGAAAACACAAGTGGAAAGAATAGAAAATATCAAAGAAATGAGCACATGCATAACAACATCATCTCTTAAATCTTGTTCACCAAAGAGAAATATCTTACCTGAAGGAGGCTTATATCGAAAGACTCTTGAAACAAACCCAGACTGCGCAGCGAGAACGGAAGGACTAACACAGGATACTGTGAAAGGTGGCACTGCATATTCAGGTAACTGTGTGAAACAAAATAAGCAGCAAGCAAACCAAATAGTAGCAACGTCTGATATGGAAAACACAGGAGCCGTCCATTCCAGTATTCCAGGAAATAATCGGACCATCAAAAACATTTTTAATGCTGCTGCTACAGATTTGCAAGTTTCGGTTCGTGACCTCCAGTCATGTTTTGAGCATGGCACGGCTTCTAAAGCCACAGTTTTGCAAGCCACACATCTGGAACATGGAGATTCGTCTCTGGAATTCACTAAGGTCCCCATACCCATGAGCGAACTTAAATCCAATCATTTTGATTCTCATATTGCGAATTGCTCAATAGAAGTACAAACGGATGAAAGTTCTGTGTTGCTTCAGTCTATGTCACAAGCTTTGGAGCAGCTTGGTGGAAATAATGAGTCTGTCATCACCATTATCGTTCCTTCAGAGGACTCAAGAACCCCCTTGCTATTAGAGGGCGCCTTTATATCAGCAGAAGAGGTACTTACCCATTTGGAAGCAGAAAACTCTGTTGTCATCGGCAGCTGCAGCAGCCTTGAAGTGCTGCAAACTGAGCACTCATACTGTAGGCAAGACACAGACCGGGAACAACTCTGGCAAAAAATTACAAAGCTGCACTCAAAAATAGCCCTTTTAGAAGTCCAGGAGAGAAAAACCCTAAGCAGACTTAAAGCTATAGAAGCAGTTGTTGCACAACTGAAGCAAGACAATCTCCTTTCAGAGGAGAAACTTAAGATCGTAGAAAACTGTTTTACAACATTTGAAGTTACCATGATATAATAAAAAAAAGGGATTGCAACTTGTTCTGCAAGTTATTTTCTGGGGTACACTTTGGTTTGTTGGTTTGTGAGAGAGGGTGTTTTGTTTATTTATTGATTCATTTATTTATAAGTAGAAATGGAATAAAAATAGGTCCATCACTTTCCTCCCTGTCCTCTGCTCTTAGTATCTTCCCAAATTCTTTAATGGAATACTAGCTGATAACCCAGGGTTGCCNGAAATAAGACCCTGTCTTATTTTCAGGGAAACATAGTATTTATGTGCTAATCTTAGCATACCAGTAGAGGTGGCTAAATAAATGGGCCCTTTGTACATTGGCATCTGGAAAAAAAATAATTACAATTTCAAATTTGATTGATAATATGTTACCGATGTGCTGAGTTGCTCACTTGATGCTTCATTTCCTATGGTAGAGGGACAACTTATACAATTCACAAAAGTATCTGATTGGTCTAGGTGCAACTGCCCAGGTCTGTGAAGAGAAGTTCTAGTCCAGACTTCATTGCAGCAAAATACCTCTTTAAAACTCTTCATACTTTTTGCCATTCAGATCTATTTTGCATGATGCTTAATGATATGAGGGGAAAAAACATGCAGCAGAACTGGCAGATTTTGTTGTGAATAGGGAAAAAAAGCATCTTGGAAACTTTCCTATCATGCAGAATGGTTTGCAAAAACCATCTGGATCACACACACAGTTAACTGAACCTCACCATCATGGTACAAAGTTTAAAGCGTGACACATTCACATACCCTCATAGCAACGGTTCAATTCCTCTGACATTCACAATATCATTTTCAAACATGCTTACACACAGCATCTTATCTGTAGCCACCACTTAGGATAAATACATGTTAACATAACTGATAACGATTGTTGCATTACTGCCATTCTCCCATGAATCTTTGTGTAGGAAAGAACCACCGTGCTTGTTGTGACTTCTCTATTGTGATAATATGTGTTAACTCGAAAAAAAAATCCATCTTTCCCAAGCTAGGGCTGCAATTCTACATCCACTTACCTGGACTTAAGGTCTATTTTTTTTTAAAGAAGTTGCTCATGTTTTCCCAGAGATCAGATAGCACTGAAATAGCCTCATCACCCAGAGTTTGCCTATCATGGAAAGCATATCTAGACAAAATGCCCTGCTCTTTAAGAAACTTCTTTGCTTGGAAGTCACTCTCCAGGAAAGGGGTCATCAACATGAAGCAGTCATTTGATCAGCTCTATCAGGAGTGGCCTTTTGTGTATTGTAACAGTTGTTAATTCTAAAGTGAGCTTTCAAAAAATGTTAAAGCTATGTGAATCCAGGGTATATTTGAGCTAATCTCTTTTGCATTTTTTTTATTGTAATGTGTATTCATTAACTATTTTAATAAAATAATTTAAGATTGGTATTTAATTTCTTTAATAAACCATGGTAGAGAAGAGGCTGTTTATTGGCATTATTTGCACTCTTTTTGAAGACCAATATTAAAAAGAATTAATACAGGTAGTCCTCGATTTACAACAGTTTGTGTAGTGACTGATGGAAGTTACGGCACTGGAAAAAAGTGACTTATGACCATTTTTCACACTTATGATTGTTGCAGCATCTTCATGTCCATGTGGTCAAAATTCAGATGCTTGGCAGTTAACTCGTATTTATGACAGTTGCAGTATCTTGGTGTCATCCTTTTGTGACCTTTTCACAAACAAAGTCAAAGGGGAAGCCATATTCACTTAACAGCTGTGTTACTAACTGAACAACTGCAGTGATCCGCTTAACAACTGTAGTAAGGAAGTTCGTAAA